CCAAAAAAAATCATAATAATCTATTTTATTTAACTGACGTATATATTTAAAAGGAGAACATGACAATACCATAGAATAAATTGTAAAATTTTCATTATTTATCTCTATTTATATATCGTGATGATGATGATGATGATCATAAGGGTATTTAAGTTATACTATACTATCTAATTGACAACAATATTATGGATTATAATGAAAGAAAATTGGTGATGAGTTGATCTTCTTCAATACAAGGTAAACGGAAGTTGTTGTTACTTGGATAATTGTAATTTAGTTATTCATGATTTGTTTATTGATTGTTTGAATATTCCCATTGAGATGTGGCAGGTACATCCAGTTGACGAGTCTCAAATAGAAATCATTTCTGTCTACTTTCGTTTGATCTAACTTATTAACATTAGAAATCCCAACAACAACAAAAGTTTAGCTCAGAATTGATTATTTAAACATGTAATTGGTAAGGGATTCGTAAAAATTACCGAATATAATCAAACAATTCAAACTATTACCAATTAAACAACTAAAACTAGACAATCATGGAAGACCTGGAAGCACTGGATATCCATTTCGTCTCAATATAGACCTTCTAATCAGTGTGAAAGCACGATCCTTCACTTGGGATTCAAACCCAAGACTTTCGATCTTGATTGGGTTGGTTAAAGTTAGACATTAACACCTTTAGGTACCGGCTCAGTGGTCTAGAGGATATGTGTTCGCACCTGAGACCGAAGGTCATTAGTTCAAGTCCCACTTGCAGGATCATGAATGTGTATCGCTGAGAAGTCCCATACTGAAACGAAACGATCATCTAGTGCTCCCAGGTTTTCACTAGTGATTTAGCTTACCTCGACTCATGAATCCACTTATGAAATTACTAAAATCTCCACAAAATTCCCATAATTACATAACGATTTCAAATGTTTGTCTATTTCTAATAAATTACACTAATTACCCATTGAATTATACTTTACCCTAATAAAAAAATACTTGAAAAAGGGATGTTTCAATTGAGTTAACTACTTATCTCTTCCCCTTGAATAACACTTTTATATACATGCAAATGTTCATACTGAAGAGATTGTTGACTTTTAAACTTCTGTTTACCTGCAATTATCTTAATAATGATAAACTAATGAATCAAGATGAGTTCAAAAGTGAAGGGACTTGACATTCAATAATTCTTTTTTCTTACTGGAACTTTACTTGATCAGCATCATCTTAAGAATTCATTCACCTAAACTTCATAAACTCATGTTGACTACATAAATCTATGCTAAAAAGTAAACATCCTCCTACTGATATTCATTGTTGTTGTTGTTGTTGTTTACTGATCAGTCGCAAATAGGGCGAAACGTGCGTCAAACTGGATTCCACTATTAGCCGCTATCCATCTTTGCTTATCATCCTATTGAGTTCGTATGTTTTAGTTTCATTAAATTAAATGAATCTTATATCACAGTTTTAAGTTCGAACCCAAACCAACGTTTAAATCAAACACTGATCAGTTTTACATTGAGTTGATCAGCAATTGTGATATGAGAATTACACACCTTAATATTTATTATTAAAGCTTTCGATACTAACTTGAAATGATGTTTATTTATTCGCTTAAACACATAAAAATTGGGTATGGGGAACCAAGTAGATATGAGCCACATGAATTATTGGATTGTTATGAAGACTGAGATACTGTCCGAAACCGAAACAGGTGGTTTTCTTGAGGGGATACACTCTGAGCCTCTGACATAAATATCTAATACACAAGCTAGTGGAGCAACGTAAGGAGATACAGTCCCAGTATAGCCGGTGACCAACAATAAGTTTATAAGCCATTCGTTCCATCAGGATCCTGGAGCCAATGTGGAATCAGGGTTTTCCAACTCCTTTACATGGATCCTCCATATCCACCAACCGAGTTAAAGCGCCAAACATTCGCTTTTCGTCCTCTCGATTCCGTAACTAATACTCCTGCCACAAGAAGGCAGTTGTTTTATGCTCGTGCTAATGTGAAAGCATTTCGAGAGGGAGAGCGAAGTCTTACCACTCTTGACCGTATCAGGACATTTGGGGGCACATGAAATGATAATATGGTTGAAAACAAATTATAATTTTATCAGAAGAGGTTTCTGTGGAGATTTTAATAATTTTATATGGTTGAAATCATGAGTCAATTGAAGCTAGATCACTATGGGAAACCTAGAAGGACTAGACAGTAGTTTCGTCCCAGTGTGGGATTCCTCAGTGGTAGTGCTCATCCACGATCTCGCCTTACGAGATTCTAACCCAGGACCTATCGGTCTCTGTTGGGAATGCTTAATCTTTAGACCACTGATTTGACATCCAATAGTGTTAATGTTTAAATTCAACTAATCCACAAAATTGATCAACCATTCATCATTGTCTTTAATGAGTTACTATCTTACAACAAACCTAGTTGAAAATCATATTGACTGCTAGATTACGTAACATATTATTATTATTAGTTATAATTGTATCTATCTGATAATATCCTCAAAAAAATTATTTTGATCCTATCAAACGGTTAATTATTTATTAGTATACGGTAAGGAAGATTGTTTAGTTTGTTTCTTGCTTTTTCTTTTCTTCACTAAAATCATGAATGAATCAATGTTAGATCACTATGAATGACCTGTAAGTATTAGACAACTATTTCATCCTTAGTAACTAAGTAACCGGTTACTCTTTCTTTCTGTTTTTTTTCTTTATTCTGTTGACTTAGGCAAAATACAAAAAAAAAATAAAACTGCTAATTAATAATAATTACTAATGACTATCGGTCACAATGAAAACTGTGTTTATTTATTTAATGGTATTCGTTTCTTTTAGGGGGGTGGAGGGAGGGGAGGGGCGGGATAAATTCATTAATTACACCTTAGAGATACTACATTAATGAAAAAAGGGTATTCTTATAATGGTTAGTTAAACTATGAATTGACTAAATAATTACTAATTAGTAACTAATATGATGTTGAATTCATTTAGTATTTTATAGTTAAGATAATGAGTCAATTGAAGCTAGACCACCTTGGAAAACCTGGAAGCACTGGACGGCCGTTTCGTCCTATTATGGAACTCCTCAGCAGTGCGCATCCACGAACACGCTCTCGCGAGATTCGAACCCACGACCTACCAGTCTCGAGCCAGAGCCCTTAACCGATAGACCACTGAGCAGGCATCCAACGGTGTTAATGTCTAACCTCAACCAATCCACGAAATTGCGCAACCAACTTCCAATGTACTGAGATAGATACCTGTCTCTACCTGACATGTATTAGCTCCACTGGCCACGACTTCTCACTAGAACTCCAGGAATTACCTCAAGGAGCCGGTCACTAGTGAGCATATGATCATTATCACTATAAAATTACTAAATTTCCACAAAAAACCCCATGTCATTTAGTATTGTTTGTTTGAATCTCCCCATTGATGTTTTTAGGACTGCAACTGGTCAGTGTCTCTACTGTTAGCATATGTGCATACTGTATGTATTGCCTCGATATTGCCTTAGTTAACAAACATTATAAGCAAAGATGGATAGTGACCAACAGTGAAATCTAGTTTGACGCGCGTTTCGTCCTATTCGAGACTTGTCAGCTGGATATACCTGCCACATCTTAGAGTTGATCTTCACTCTGAGACGAAACACGCGTCCTGGATTCCGCTGCTAGCCATTATCCATGTTTGCTTAATATGATGTTTTTTTTGTATTCTTTAGTTTTAATTCTATTCTGTTGATTAAATCTTGATAAGAACATGAGAGTAAACATTAATTGACTATTCAATCTGTTATTTAGATATTTCAATAACTTTTGGTACAACCTTACGTTGTACACAAGTTACAAAAGAGCCCAATCAAAGATATCGTAGTTACTGATAATATGTCGATTACTGAAATGTTAATATCTAACTGGTGATTGGTTGAATTTAGACATTAACACCGTTGGATGCCGACCGGCTAAGTAGTCTAGTGGTTAAGCATTTTGGAGCGAGACTGGTAGGTCCTGGGTTCGAATCTCGTCAGGCGGGATCGTGAATGCGCACCGCCACTGAGGAGTCCCACGATAAGATGAAACGGCCGTCCAGTGCTTTCAGGTTTTCCATGTCGGTCTAGCTTCAATTGACTTATGATTTCAAGATCGACCAATAAGTAAGAAACGAAATTCTATGTTATATCAATAACATATTACTGAAGAGAACTAGTAATAATAATAATTACAATGACTATGTTCTATCTATCTTCTTTTCAGAGGAGCTCGCTGTCTGTCCAAATTTGACTGATCAATAGAAGAGATAAAATAATTTCCCTGAAGAGAAAAAACTTCTTCAAACTATATCCTTGACGATATAAGGCATCATTTTATCTATATTTCAATCAGCGTTCTTATTAAAAAGTTTTCATCGTTCTTCTGAATGAAATCATCAGCACAAACTTCAACTACAACTGAAGTGTTCAAATATTTTCACATAAGACACAACTTATCTTGTACACTTGAAGTTTACGTTGATAATGTCGTTCAGAAGAACGATGAAAGCTTCCATCCATCTCAGAGAATAAAACTTCATCATAAACATTTGTCTTGATAAACTGTCCATCATCAGATGTTTTAATGTAACGTTAAATATTGATTAACTCATCCAAGTATTTCCATAGTTAAAATGATTAGTCAATTGAAGTTAGACCACCAAGGAAAACCTGAAAGCACTGGACGGCCTTTTCGTCTTATCGTGGGATTCCTCAGTGGCAGTGCGCATTCACGATCCTTCTTGACGAGACTCGAACCCAGGACCTACCAGTCTCGCCCCAGAGCACTAGTGCTTCCAGGTTTTCCATAGTGGTCTAACTTCAATTAACTCATGATTTCAACTATGGAAATACTAAAGTCTCCACACAAAACCACCTTCTGATCACCCAAGTATATTGATATATTCTAACACTTCTCTTTTCGTATAATTTATTGTTTGTATTATAGAACCAAATGGAACTTCATTATCCTTCAGCATATTCAACACCGACTACTTTAAATAATTTACAAATTAATGATCATTCAAAAATCACTTCGGTCAATAATACGACATCGATAAATCCTTTCATTGATAATCTAAATTTTATACCATTGTCAACATCATCGTCATTATCATCATCAGCATCATCGCCGCCGTTATCATCATTATCATCATCGTCATTATTATTATCATCATTATCATCATCAGAACTTCCATATCATCATAATATCTATTCATTAAAACAATATCAAAATAATCATATGAATACAATTGAAACACTGTCAAATATATTGATCCCTGAAGGTGAAGACGAAGGAGGAGAAGAAGAAGAACATCATGGAACTATGAAACAATTGAATCTATTTGATTTTGGTGAATCATCATCAAGTATTGAAACAAATCATAATAATAATAATCTATCAAATTATTTTAATCAATCTGATGAATATACTACTCATACAGATTGGTTTTCTCAACTATTACAAACCACAACAGCAACAACAACATCAATAACACCACCCCCAACAACAACACCACCACCACCATCGGTAACAAATTTATTAAGTTCTGAATTCACATCAACACAAAATTGTATAAGTCCATCTTGGAAAAATAATGATTATGTACATTATTCATATACAAATTATTCAACTGATATGAATATTCAACAACACCACCACCACCACCACCAGCCCCAGCAACAACAGGCAGATTATCAACAAACTGGACAGGTAACATTTCAACAATTTCAAGATATTCAATTAGATCAATCGAATCAACAAACATTCAATATTGATCAATATGATCTAACCTATTATAATCCTATTCAATCCTTACATACTACTTATATTACTACTACTTCTACTACTACTACTACTACTACTAATAATAATAATAATAATAATAATAATAATAATGAAATAAGCAATCATTATAATAAGGATAATAATAGTAATAATAATATGCTTATGAAATTACATCAATCTATCTCTCCTATACAATATAATGAACAAACAATTCTATATCCATCAATTTATGATCATAATGATCCTTATCATGATCACGATCACAATCATCACGATCATGATCGCGATCATCATGATCATCCTGAACATTTCTATTGTGATTTATGTTCATTCAATAATTCATATCCATTCATAACAAAATCAAATTTTAATTTGAATCAATCAATAAATCAATTAAATTGGATCAATAATAATCATATTAATAATCAATATTTTCAAGAAAATTTATATTATCCATCTTATAATCAATATATCAATAATAATAATAATAATAATAATAATAATAATAATCAATATAAACAATTAATTATACAAAAAAAGAAACAATATAAAAAATATTTAAATTATGAAACTAATTATAAAACTCGAATCAAATCAATAATATCGTCACCATCAACACCACCACCACCACCCCAGCAACAACAATCACCACGGCAACAACAACAGCAATTGAAAACAACAACCACAGCAACAAAATTAACGACATTATTTCATATTACTAATGAACAATTAAGTAGTTTACTACCATTCATAACATGTAATGAGATATTTGATATATTATATAAATATAATCCACCAAATACAATGGCACAATTTCAAACTATCTGTATTCATAATAATAAACAAAATCAAATTTATTTTCGTTTAAAAGAACAAAAAATTTGGTCAGATATATATTTACATAATACAGAAATGATAGCAACTAATACAGGAAGGTTAGTTACACTATATATACACTATATATACTTTCAAGAGTCGAACTCAGGACATTGAAATTCATTTGGTATTGTACGGTTGAATCTTTCCATTGATGTTTTTAGGACTTCAGTTGATTAGTCTGTTATTGGCCATATGTGCATCGTGTGTATATTGCCTCGATATAGCCTTAATTCACAAGCATTATAAGCAATGATGGTTAGTGGCTAGCAGTGGAATCTAGTTTGACACGCGCTTCGTCCTATTTGGGATGAATAAGTTCCTTCAAGATTGTGATGATGAATGACAAATAGAAAGAAACCTAGGCCTAAAGTTTCCTATTGATTACTTATAATCACGGACACGGAGGGTCCACCTAGGGGATTTGGAAAACCCTGATTCCAAACCAATGGTGCACATGGGCTCCAGTATCCTGATGGAACGAATGGCGGACGAACCTGTCATTGGTCAACGGCTACCATGGGACTGCAACTCCTCACGATGCTCCACTGCCTTGTGGATCAGACCTTTAGGTCAAAGGCTCGGGTGTGGTCCCCTAAGAAAACCACCTGCTTGAGCTTGGGCACCCGGGCAGTATCACAGCCCACACATAAATGAATGAAATGATGAACTCTATTGACGATTCTATTCCTGCTCATATTATAAGCAAGACAATTTACATTATTATTATTATTATTATTATTATTATTATTATTATTATTTACCATATCGCTAATTCACCCCCTTTTAATCCCCAATTTGTGTAACCTTACTTTTCAACTTATGCAGCAGCTCGCTCTTGGTGGAAAATCTGTCCTATCTAAACGATCTCCAGTCACTGTCTGGTTGAAAGTGAATGCTTCCACCGATTATGAATACTGAAGCAGTCTTTCTGAAACCACGTACGCCGTTCAAGCTGGCTTCCTTCAACGTTCGCACACTAATGCAGATCAGACAACAGATAGAGCTGGCTATGTTTTTGGAAGGTCTTAATGTTGACGTTTGTTGTCTATCCGAGACCCGTATTCAAGACTCTAGTGAAGTACTACAAATCCGCTCTCCATCTGTCGTGTCGAAAGGCTTGTTTCACGTGAGCTTATCCGGGGACTCTGTGGCATCTTCGTCTGGTCTTGCTGGCGTTGGTGTCGCACTAAGCGCTAGGGCTGAGGCAGCACTAATCGATTGGATCCCCATTAACAGTCGGTTATGTGCTGTTAGATTAGAAAGTTCCATCAAAGTGAGAAGAAACCGGCGTGAGAAACGGTGTCTTTTCGTCATCTCCGCCTATGCTCCGACAGATTGCAGCCCGGATGCAATCAAGGATGAGTTTTACCATCAGTTAACAGTTCTTCTCCAGAAAGCGCGTTCGACAGATATTGTAGTACTAGCCGGAGACTTGAATGCACAGGTCGGGCGTCTAGGCATAGAAGAGAGTCGTCTAGGTGGCCGATGGTGACTTGTTGGTCGCAGGACAGATAACGGGGACCGTTTGCTGCAACTGTGCACAGACCACAACCTGTTTCTGGCCAGCACTAACTTCCGGCACAGTCATCGCCGGTGTGCCACCTGGCGTCCTCCCTCTGCATCCCAAGCCTGGACTCAGATTGATCACATCGCGATCAGCTACCGCTAGCGTGGTTGTGTACAAGACTGCCGCTCCTTTTGGAGTACCTATCTGGAGTCTGATCATGCCCTGGTCTGCGCCAATCTCACCTTACTTTTCAGTGGCCGAAGGATTGACCGCCATCAACGGATCGATGTTAGTAAACTGGCAGCAACTTCTGTTGCAAGTAAGTATCGAGCGGAGCTAGCCTCTAGGCTAGCTACCACCCCACCGAAAAGTATAGATGAGCATTGGTTGCATCTTCACGACGCCATGAAAATGGCGAGTAAAGCCGCTTGCGGCTTCGCGAAACGTCCCGCTTACAAGCACTGGGTTTCTTCTGGCTCCTTACAACTGATGGAAGCCCGTCGGTCTACTCCGGGTGACCGTGAGTTTGACCACAAACGAAAGCTGTTACGTAATGAAATCGGGCAAAGCTTGCGTAAGGACCGGGAAGCCTGGTGGTCGGAGCGTGCTATGAGATGGAAGCAGCAGCTGCATCTGGTAACTGCCGGAAGCTCTTCCAACTCATCCGAGCCACTGGCAGCAAGAAGTCTGGTGTGAGTGAAACAATCTACGAGGATGATGGGGTGCCAATCACTAACATCTCCCGACGTCTTGGACGATGGGCGGAATTTTTCGAAGGGCAGTTCAACTGGCCTGCTGCTCCGGCAACATCAACCAGCTTGTCCTGCCCCTCATGGCTGGTGACGACTGTTCCACCAAACGAGGCGGAAGTCCGCAAGGAACTCCAACTCTTGAAGCGCTACAAATCACTGGGCTCAGATGACTTACCTCCGGCTCTTTTTAAAGATGGTGGTGACTTTCTGACTAAGTAACTGACTGCGTTGTTTGGAAAGGTTTGGGAGCAAGAAAGTGTTCCAACATCTTGGAATGAGTCAATAGTCGTCCCTATCTTTAAAAAGGGTTCGCGTTGTTCCTGCAATAACTATCGGGGGATAAGTCTACTTCTGATTGCGTCCAAACTACTGGCTTCTATCATTCTTCGTAGGTTGTTTAAAACCCGAGAACGATTGACTCGCGAGGAGCAGGCTGGTTTTCGTTCTGGTCGAGGATGCATTGATCACATTTTCACCCTCCGCCAAATGTTAGAACACCGTCATACTTATCGCAGGCCAACAATCGTAGTGTTTATTGATATCAGGGCGGCCTTCGATTCGTTGGACAGGACTGTTCTCTGGGATTGTCTATTGAAGAAGGGTGTGTCTGAGAAGTTTATTAACATCTTAAAGGCCCTGTATACGAACACCTCAGGCAGAGTGAGGGCATACAACCACCTTTCTCCCTTGTTCCATTCGAGCAGTGGGGTTAGGCAGGGTTGCCCGATCTCACCATTCCTCTTCAACTTTGCCATCGACGACATCCTGGAAACAGCTCTGGTGGATGTAAGTAATGGCGGTGTGGATATGTTGCCTGGAGAACGACTTCTCGACCTTGAGTATGCGGATGATATTGTCTTACTGCGCGATAATGCCCAAGGCATGCAATCCGCACTTAATCAGTTGGCAATCAGTGTCCGCAGGTACGGCATGTGCTTTGCACCCTCCAAGTGCAAAGTACTCCTACAAGACTGGCAGGATTCTCATCATGTACTCACCCTGAATTGAAGTAGTTGAGAATTTCGTGTATCTAGGTAGCTATATAAGTGCTGGTGGTGGCGTGAGTGATGAGATTGATGCACGTATAATGAAATCCAGAGCGGCTTATGCCAATCTGGGCCATCTTTGGCGCCTTCGTGATGTTAGTCTGGCTGTAAAAGGTCGGATCCTCAACGCGTCGGTGAGAGCAGTTTTGCTCTATTCTTGTGAAACCTGGCCTCTCCGAGTTGAGGATGTTAGACGTCTCTCTGTGTTCGATCATCGTTGTCTCCGAAGGATTGCTGACATACAGTGGCAACATCATGTTAGTAATGCAGAGGTTCGGCATCGTGTGTTTGGGCGCAGAGACGATAATTCAATTGGTGTCACCATCTTGAAACACCGACTTCGGTGGCTTGGACATGTTTTACGAATGTCGTCCCAGAGACTTCTACGCCGTGGGACTGGTTGGAAAAAGCGGAGAGGAGGTCAGTGTATGACATGGTGTCGTGGCATGAAAGAGAGCTGCAAAGGGCTAGCTTCTGTTGGTCCTTCACGACTCCTTGGTTGGGGTCCGAGAGATGGTGCAACACAGTGGCTAGAGACGTTATCAGATATGGCTGAGAATAGAAGGCAGTGGCGATCCTGCTGCAACCTTCTTTTACTTTCTACATAAAGAATGGTTCTAACTTTCCTAACTGAAAGAGTCTTCTGGTTGTACATTTCAGTCCGCCTTATCTTTTCATCCCTTCTCTTCCTACTTTCACTATTTTGCGTGGCGCATATGTACCTGGTGCCCTTTTGTACCAATATATATGTGTTTAAATAAATAAATAAATAACATTTTAACATAGTGAATGTAATGTTAATTCATTTAGATTAGTGAATACATTGGAACTTGATTGATAGGACTCGATCTGAAATAATAAGTATTTGATATACATGACATTGATCACTATCCAGTGATTGATCTAAGACTAATGGAGATTTCAGTATTTTCATAGTTGAAAGCATGAGTCAATTGAAGTTAGACCACCAAGGTAAACTTAAAAGCACTGGATGGCGGTTTCGGGGCTTTCACGTTTTCCTTGAATTGTGAATGAATTGTAAATACATCTCAGTCTTACTGAAGGTCACCCATGTTCTGAATTGTTTAGTACTAACGTCTGTAACTATGAAGCTGATTGTCACTGGATCGAATCTGTCAGAAGGTACCAGATTCCATAACATTACTTCGATCAATATGAATAGATCAAAATTAATGAACATTATTGTAGTTTAAATTACGAATTAATTTGAGTTAAATAATTATTAAGTACCAAAACGGGCCAAAATAATTATTTTGTCCTACAACGAGATTCCTTAATAATTGATGGATTCATGTTTATATATTCTTGAAGAATTTCATACTAGTAAGTCCCATGGTAGCCGGTGACCAACGATTGATTCATACGCCATTTGTTCCCTCAGGATAATGGAGCCCATGTGCACCATTGGTTTGGAATCAGGGTTTTCCAACTCCTCTAGGTGAACTTTCCGTGTCCACCGGCCCAAATAAAGCACCGAACATTCGATTTTCTTCCCCTCAATTTCGTAAAGAACACCCGTGGTGCAAGAAGGTAGTGAGTAGGACTTCCCTGACAGATTCTATTTACGCGTGGACATGTGAGCGCATTTGAAGAGGGCGAGCGGACTCCCCCGACTCTCGGCCTTACCTGGGTATCTGGGGGCTACTGGTTAAAAGTTGAGTACAATCAGTCAGTTAGCTACATATAAACTAGAGTTTGTACATTTTATAGTAGAAAAATGATTCTTTATTTAAAGAATTCAATGCGTATTTTTATCTTTTCTTCTTCTTCTTCAATAATTTAGACGAATTTTCCCATCTTTATCCGTTGATGTATTTGGTTTAAATTCAACTGATGAATATATTTTTTTATTGGATATGCTTTTAATACAACCTCATATATTTAAACATCAAGGTGATCGATGGATTATAAGTAGTCAATCTGAAGTATTAAATAATAATCAAACATTAGGTAAGTATTATTGTCGTCTTGTTAATTGAATGCTATATTCGGATCTTAGTCAGTCAGTCACGACGTAGAACTTCTTACGTACATACGTACATCAGTTCGAGTTGCTATACCACATTAGCACAGAAATGCAGTTGTCCATTCAAATCCCATCTTGGTGGAAGTAGTAAGAGTATAAACAGTAATCGGAAAGATTAGGGTTTGAAGATGTTATTGAAGGAGTTTAATTCAGTGAAATAAATTTGAAAAGAGAAAAAGGATAGGGACATGAAGAATTCAGAAGATTAGAATTTGGGAGAACACAAAGAGTGGATGCACCTTCGCTATTGCAAACGATTTTGAGCCATATCATTCTAACCATGTCTCTAACCATCGGTTGCTATGATCTCGCGATTCCCAACCAGGTAGTTTAAATCTACCAACATGGCTCAGTCCAATTGTCAGTTTTGTCAGTTTTGTAACCCTCAAGCTAAAACTAAACAGCGAATTGAACATGAGAAAAAAAGCGTAAAACGTACGAGTAATACTTTACTCTAAAAGTTCATCCATGTACAAAAAATATAGGGTTTTCATAGTATTTTAAAAGTCCTTTGGTTTTCCTGAAAATTCTGAAAGACTACTAAACATAGTAGCAATGTAGTAATCAGCCAATCAGAAAGTCTACATGTGACTTTTCACTTTCGTGATGTTTCTGGAAAAGCTTCTAGTCAAACACTGATTAGAGAAAATGCTTCTTAATGTTTCCTGAGCTTATCTTGTCTATTGTGAGAAATTGTTTTGATCACCTCAACACAATCTGTAAAAATACCTGAAACATTCAAGAAATTCTGAAATGGACTAGATACAACCACTGAAATTATATGACGATCGAACTATATTCAGGACTAAACAAAGTCGATTGACCGGTTTATTGTATCTCATTTCAATAATCTAACAAAATCATGGTTATCATAATATTTGAATGTCCTGAGTTCGACTCTTCATAGTGTATGGTAATTATTAATGAAAATAGTGTAACTATAATGTGAAACTAACCCAATCAGTGTATCTGATTTTCGCCTCTCTTCATAATAATTGTACATTCAAGTATATTTACCTCAAATTACAACTAAAAATCTCAAATAAGACTAAAGTTTTGATGCTATTCAGTATGTCACCTTAGCATCGACTGTCCAGAAATTTCGCTTATAATTTCATACTACTAACAAATAGTTTGTTTTTGTTAGCTTAAATATCAAGCTAAATTTCATCATTACGAACATTAGGTGTCCGAGATTTCAAAATATCAGCATAAGGGTTATTTTTTCCAACGAAAACCAAAAGGTAATCTAGGTAGACTGCCATGGATCAGATCTATTGACAGACAGTTAGTTGTTTTTAAACTCCAAAAACGATAGATATATGACTACTGGAGTATTTAAAATAAATAGTTTGCTGTAATTGACCCAATCTAAAACATTATGAAGTCACCATAATTCATACTTCCTTGATCCATATTCGATTACTTCCTGAATCATCAGATCTTCAAAAAGTTGAGTTTTACTAAAATTAATGAACTTAATCTAGAATGCTGTTTAATTTCGGTTTTTCAAACGTAGTCTATTCAATAAATACACAAATTTTAAGCATAAAAATTTATTATAACACATTTGATACGGACTAGTTTAATCCACTTCTAAATAATTCCCATCTGTTATAGTTTATTTGCCCCGCCTCAGTTTTTGTTCCAAGGAATGTCCATTTAATCCACTAAAAATCAAGTGCTGGAACTATCTCATCATCTCACTTTTTTCTGACCTCACTGTTGATTGATCCAATGTAGTGATTAAATAACGGATTGTTAACTTTTGAACAACAACTATGTAACTTCAAACTTATATTGCCATATCATTTGGTCAAATGATCATCAATTGTTCACTGAGAAAGATAGACCACCAAGATTAGGTTGACTCTAAATGGTGTGTGTGTGTGTGTCTGCATATAACTCCATCATGATCGGTGGCTTGTCCAAGTATAATCATAATTGTCAGCATTGGGTTTTGTGGAGATTTCAGTAATTTTTTATATAGTTGAGATAATGAGTAAATTGAAGATAGACAACCATGGAAAACCTGGAAGCACTGGACGGCCGTCTCGTTCTATTATGGGACTCCTCAGCAACAGTGCGCATCCACGATCCTGCTAGTGGAGTTCAACCAGGTCTGTTAAGAGATATCAATTCACTGAAGATGATTGGTGAATGGTTGCTCAATTTCATGGATTGGTTGACGTTAGACATTAACACCATCGGATACCGGCCGGCTCAGTGGTCTATCGGTTAAGTGCTCTGACGCGAGAATGATAGATTCTGGAAGGATGCCCACTGCCACTGAGGAGTCCCATGGTAAGACAAAACGGCCGTCCAGTACTTCCAGGTTTTCCATGTTGGTCTAGTTTCAATTGGCTAGTGATTTCAACTATATATTCATTATTGACAAAATTAAATGTTCATTTAGATTCTTCATTAGATTGTCTATCCATTTTATAGAATTAAATATTGATTCTTGAATATATATTCACTCTCTTTGTTAGAAGGTAAATATTATATTCAAGAAGAATCACCTAAAACTGGTGCATATTGGATGGAATCTGGTGTCAATTTTACTCGTGTTAAAATTACAAATACTAAAGAAATAAAACCATATAAAAATATGGTAAGTTTCTAAATCAAAATACATTTGTTTTAATGAATTTAAGTGTCCACATGTTTGGTGTCGGTTACCTACTTATTTACTTACTTACGCCTGTTACCCTTCGTGAAGGAGCATAAGCCGCACACCAACATTCTCCATTCAACTCTATCCTCAACAATCCTTTCCAGTTCTTTCCAGTCACTATTCATCCTTTTCATATCTGCTTCTATTTTTCAAAAGTAATGTGTTCTTTTGCCTTCCTCTTTTCCGTTTTCCTTCCGGATTCCAAATTAAGGATTGCGTCGTGATGCACATTGGTGATTTCCCTAATATATGTCCTATCCACTTTCAATGTTAAGTTTATTCTAGCTTCTGGATAAGTCAATCTATTCATTTTTCTTAAGTCATATTGTGACCTTGTTAATGAATTGCTTGTCAACCTTGACTGTTTTGATATGATCATTTGTACATATGTATTGGCTTACTCTATTCATCATATATCTGTAGCTTATGACCATAAATATTAATTAACACGTAATTCAATCATGTTGGCTTGTACACCTTCTCCTTTGTGTGCCATTTCACTTCGTTCTCTTCTCATCGCTTTGTTTCTTTGATCATTTGTCTACAACAATAATTGTATGAAATATATCAGAAGGGGGTTTTGTGGAGATTTCAGTAATTTTATATAGTTGACATAATGAGTCAATTGAAGAGAGACCATCATGGAAAACCTGGAAGTACTGGACGACCGTTCCATTCTATTTTGGGACTCCTCACTAGTGTGCATCCACGATCCCGCCTCAAGATATTCGAACCTAGGACCTACCATTCTCACACCAAACACTTAACCGATAGACCACTGAGTCGGCATTCCATGTTGTTTATGCCTAACTCCAACCGATCCACGAAATCTGAACAACCATTCACCAATTGTCTTCAGTGAGTTCCTATCTCACAACATACCTGGTTTAAACTCCACTAGTCACTGCTTCTCACTAGAACTCCATGATTTACCTCTCAAAGTCAGTTATTAGTGAGCATATGATGATTATTATTATTATCAGAAGGGGTTTTGTAAAGATTTAGTATTCATTAAAATATTTAGTTGAATTGATTTCAACAGTATTAACCCCCTCACCATGCACAGGTAATTCGTGACTTCTTATTTGATAATACCACATTTTTCAATTGTCGATTATCAATCCTACTTTTCTCTATTTGTTTTCTTTCCTACCAATTAGATTCATGTCAACAGTATGCATTATTATATTCCAAGAATTTCGGTTGTACGTCTAAATAATTCAATGAATAATCAATCAAATTGTTATCATTCATCTAATCAATTAGAATTAATTGGTTCTTATATAATACCTGGTACACAATTTTATACAGTAACAGCATATCAAAATCCAGATGTTATACGTATTAAAATTAATAATAATCCATTTGCTAAAGGATTTCGAAATCGTCAAGATACTGATGATTTTAATGATTTAGCTGTTTTATCTGTTATGAATTCAAGGAATAAATTAATGACAACATCAACATCGTCAACATCACCATCACTATCATCGTTATCAGTAGTACCATCGATTAGCTCTTCTCAATATACACACAAGAATTATTCAATTGAAACCTATCAATGTTAATATCGATTTGTATTGTTTTTGGTTTTCCTTTTTTCTTAATATTTCTCTTGTTTTCCCTATTTACTCTTGAAATTTTTTTTCAATTTTTGTAAATATTTGTTCAATCAGTTCAAGATAAATAAATTATCTTTTGTTTTGATATGAATTTTTTTGTTTCGTCAATCATTGGTTAGTATGAAGATCTGCGAAATATTTAACATTTAATTTTTAACTACTTATAGTAGTATAAAATAATATGGTAAAGATTTGTAGCTTAGGTGGATGATGTTGATGAAGTTTTGTTCTCTGAGTTGGATGGTTTGGTCATGGAGCTTTCATCGTTCTTCTGAAAACTTCAGATAGAAGTGAAGTGTTCGAATGTTTTTACACAGCTTGTCTTGTAGACGTTGTTGTTGATTGGTTCTTGTTGACCTTTAATCTGTTATTGTTTACTTCTTTATTTTGATTGTATCATCCATTGATTTGATAATCTTATTGGTTGATAAATTTGATTGATTTCGATATGCTTGCTGATTGACCTGAGTGCTAAGCTTCCTGTAGCTGTGAACCATATATGGAGAAATCTGAATACTTCACTTCTACCTGAAGTTTGTGCTGATGATGTCGCTCGGAGGAACGATGTTAATGAGTGTAGATTTCGTTTAATTGAGGCATGTAACATAAAAATAATGCCAGCAGTGTGAGATAGTAACTCACTGAAGACAATGATGGGTGTGTCGCTCAATTTCGTGGATCAGTTGAAATTAGGCATTAACATTGTTCGATGCCCGCCGGTTCATTGGTCTAGAGGTTAAGCGCTTGCGTGCGAGAGAGAAAGTTCTGGGTTCGAGTCTCACGAGTGGATCGTGGATGCGCATTTCTGAGGAGTCTCATACTAGGACGAAACAGGCATTCACTGCTTCCAGGATTTCCATGGTGGTCTAGCTTTAATTGATTCAATAATTCAATTATTAAAATGGTGACTGTTTGAGCATCTGCATATCACAAAATTGATTTGCTTTCAAGATATTACCGTTGAAATGTAGCACAAAGACAATCGATATTGAGTTATGGATGAAAAAAAATAAATCTTGATTTCATTCATGTTGTAAATGTAATCGGATACGTAAACATTTTAACAGTCTATACATTCATACGATTCTAGTTCTACTCAACTATAAAAAAGAAACATGCTCTTTCTAACAGGTAAAAATGATATTATCAAGATAACAGTAGATTCAGTTAGTCAGCTACAACGTAGGATCAGGAACATATATGCATCGGTCCAAGTTGCCATACCTCGTTAGCACAACAAGATGAACACCGGATTCATAGAAGTAGTTAATTTAGTGGTGGTAGTATATAAAAGAAAGATTGTATATAAGGATATAGTATAGGAAGTGTTACGTCTGGCCGATTGTGAACGCTTTATTCAGATCCTAAGCTTGTTCCGTACCCCCGAGCTAAAACTACACAAAGACTTGAAGACCAGAGAAAAGGCACAAAATACGTGGGAAGCACTTTACTACAGTGTTCATTTATGTACAGAAAATATAGGGATTTTATAGTAAGAGTTTAAGAGTTCTTGAGTTTTACTGAAAGTTCTAGAACACTGCTAAACATAGTAGCAGTGTATAAATCAGCCAATCAGGATCTCCACATGTGACTTTCCCATTTTCGTTATTTTAGTAACATACTTCACATAACTTCTAATTAATCGCTGATTGGTTGAAATGCTCCTTGATGACCCATGAGCTTGTCATGTCGCTTGCGAGAAAAATGCAGGGTCATCCCAACAGGAAGGAAGAATGTTATGAGGCAATTTTAATTTTAAGGTTTAAGGGAAGATAAAGAGTGTATACACCTACGCCATTGTGATCGATTCTGAGCCATGTCCCGACCGTTGCTGCTACCCTGACGTGGTGGTCGAGCTTGCCTATCGTGATGAATCAACCGAGCTATACTGGCTGGAACAATAGTTCCTCAAGGTCCTACCATGCCAGACAGGTCGGTTGAAGAACGGTAAGAGTAAAGGAAGCAGACCCTAGGGTCCGAAGGCTAAGTTGTACTGCTTACTGTACGGAGGTGTGACAGCAGTAAAGTATTTCCTTCAGACAACCAGCATAACAGCGATGCCGCATTCCCACAAGGAGGAGTAGGATTAGAAAAGGTCGACCCTAAAAATGCACACCTCGCCTTATCCCACGGATATCCGTCTCCGGCGGTAAGGTCCCAACAAGTACGGAGCTAACACAAAAACTGTCTACAAAAAGTTTGTGTGTGACCGACCTCAAGCAGTTGTCTCTTGGGCACTGCGGTCATGCTCTCAGATCACTAACACCACTTCTAATCCAATTTCCTTTTCAGGTACCTCTAGAAGAACCCTTCCACGGTGTGGGCAACTGGGAAGTGATAACTGACCTCATACCTCTAACAGCACTCAAGACCACCGTATTCACAATCAATCTCCTATGTCAGTAGAATGTTCAACATCATTTGTCAACAGATTATTAATCGATGACTGATTAGTCCAACAACGTAGGAATTTCATCATTCTGTAATGTCTAGTACTATATCAGTTCTATATGGGTTATTCTAACTTCAGGATAGACCAATTTATTGATTCTTCTTCAGTTAAACTTTGACCTTGCCGATTATTTACTTAATTAAAATAAATAAATCGATGGATCACTGACGCCTCAGTAGTGTATAAGTTGCTGATTCAACCTCCCATAGATACAGCTCTTTTGACTCTTTCGGAGTGACGCGTCCAGAGTTAATTAGATGCTCTTGTACTGAATTAGTAACTGTTTTGCTTAGAAAGTGATCGTTCTGTGTGGTCAATTTAACCTCTACCACAAGGACAAGTAAATTTGTAAATGCACATCGATGTGACCTATAGCGGAAGTTTATCCTTAACACATTCATGAATGGTAGGTCAGCTTGAAAAAACGATTCGGAGCTTAGTTGAATGGAAATATTTATTCGAGGATTTTAAAATCTTTATATTCAAGATATCGGTGGCCGTGTCTCCTTTAAATTCAATATTCATAGAAAGAGTTTTCTTTTAAACTGTTAGTGTTTTTTCAAGATGTTACCTAAGTGTTAAGTTCCTATGGTTCTTACTATTCTCTTATTAATCTTGACTGTTTTTACATGGGCATATGTGTCCATTGTTTACCCTGATCATCATATGTCTTCATCTTATTCCCTCCGGTTATAAATGTTGAGTTATGCCTGATCAAAATAGGGCTGACATGTTTGCTTTCTCAGGTCTGTTCCTCCAATTCATCACGAAGCAATGCATGTATGAATTCGTTCTCGTACTTGACCTATTTTATTCCGTCATTCTCTGACACGGAACAGGTCAATAACTATCAGGGGACATGTATTTCTCATTAATACTATTATTATTCGATCAAACTGGAGTAGAATAAACGGGAAATAAAAAATCTTCCATAATAAATGATGTTTATAAATTTTAACTACTTATAAGTAACAAACTAAAGTTTACTAAAAAATATTTATCATTCATAGTTTTGATTAGTATGTTAACCTGTTTCATCTTTATATTCAATACAAGTTCACCAAAAAGGATAATTGGTCCATTATTTACTGTCCCAATCACTCTAACTAACTACGCCTGGAATTCCCGGAGTTATTGCTTGTCCCCGGCCCGGATAAAGAAGGAGGGTTGAGCATGGGGTTAGTGAGCCCATCCCTTAGAAAACTAACTCTCTAAACAAACGCTAACCAGATAATTACTCTAACTAATATCAATTTGTATTTTTTTCTCACTATAGGTGTTTTTGTCACTTGTTCAGTTTCAATATAATTTCACCTTCGTGTAACAGTTTCTCTTGATAATAAACTTTTAATAGCTTAAATTCATTTAGTATTGCACAAGCAAGTGGCTATCAGGACTCAGTGGCCGAGTGGATAACGCGATGGCGTTTGAAGCGAGGGTACTGGGTTCGAGTCTCAGATTGAATATCAACTCTGAGATGCAGGTACATCCAGCTGACGAGTCCCAAATAGGACGAAACGCACGTCCTGGATTCCACTGTTAGCGACTATCCATCTCTGTTTAATAGCTTGTTTTAACTAGAAAATAAACGTTTATAATTGTATATAGGTGGATATATGTTAAGTCAGGAATGATAGTGATATTTATTTATCTACCTATAAGAATTCATACACTCTTAAATAAAGAATAAACATAAATGATAGTAAGGAAAGATGAATAGTGGCTAGCAGTGGAAACCAGGACGCACGCCATTTCATCCTATTTAGGATACATCAGCTGGATGTACCTAAATATCATAGTTGATATTCACTCTGGGACTCAACTAACAAGTTGTAGTTCTAAACATCAATCGAAATATTCAAATAAACAATACTAATTGAATAAATGATAATGTCTAGAACTTAATCATTTCATCATTCATTAGTTATGATATGCTACAACATAGAATCATTTCAAATAAAACCATATAACTTTACTGAATTTAATTATCAGAATATACATTCAGCTCCATCCTATGCAGATTCATTAATATACAATTTAAGGAATGTTTAAAATTGACTTGATTTTCAAATTATCTTAAAGGTTTCATTGTACAATACGAAAATATACTTAATTACTTATCTGCTTATACCTGTTAATCTTCATGAAGAAGTATAAACGACCCATCAGCACTCTTTATACAACTATGTCCTAAGCATTAATTTCTAGTTCCGATTAATCCTTTTCATATATGTTTACATTTTACGATGTAGTGTGTTTTTCAGCTTTTCTCTTTTGCTCTTTCCTTGAGGATTTCAAATTAGAACTGGACTCATTATTCAATTTGGTCATTTAATTAATGTATAATCGATCTATTTCCAACGTCTTTGATAGGGTTTTTGTTCTGTGAGCTGGATAGTTTGGTAGCGAAACTTTCATCTTCTGTAATTCAACTGTTCATACATTTTTTATACCAACTGAGCTTTGTTCATGTTTTTTTTTCCTTTATCGATCT